CTCCCTCCCTCCCTCCCTCCCCACCTCTCTCAGACACAGTAAGAAGGTGGCTGTCCACAAGCCAGGAAGAGAGCCCTCACCAGGAACCCACCTTTCTGGATACCTTGACCTGGGACTTCCAGCGTCCAGAACAGAACTGTGAGAAATGAATGTCTGCGGTTTAACCCGTCCGGTCAGTGGGATCTTGTACGGCAGCCTGAGCCGACTAACGCACTTGACCTTGAGCCCTTCCCAGAGCCCAGTGTAAAATGAAGGTAGCGATTGTAACAATGTTTGCACTTGCCTTGATGTAGGCAAAACTGTTTATATTCAGATCCCACTAACTTATCTTTACTGTTGCTATCTTCTTTTTGTTGGTTAATTTTGAAATTAGCTTTCATTTCATATGTGTTTAGTCATTAAAAGTGAATTTAATTGGCCACTGAGGGGGTTTTCCAAGTTTATTGCCTGTTTGGGTCACAGTCAGAAAGCGAATGCTGAGGAACGGGCGTGGATTTTTAAATACCTTGTTTCATTACCCCTGGGCAAGGGCTTCGTCAGCACTTCTCAGATTCAAGGTCTTTATTCCCCAGGGAGAGAGCTCTGGAGTTGCCTCAAAATTCCTTATGCCCTAGACAGGTTGTCACTTTTATTAGAGAGGTGGAAGTGTATTCCTTTCAAATTTCATTCCGAGCAGTTCTTCAAGAGAAAAAAAGTAGACTAGTGAAAAAAGAGGAGCCTACTAACATTTTTCTTCGTTTCTACTTAAAACCCGCTGATAGCTTCTATTCTGTTTCCATTTTCAATACAGATCAAGGCTAAAAATTATTTCTCTAAAAGATAATTTCTTTAACCAGTTGACATATGAGAGCAAAAAAATCAAAACAATGTTTCTTCCCAAACACCTGTATTCTCGGTCCACTTCCTTTAGATCTGCTCCACTCTTGGTCACACTGGTGGGTCTCTTTGATACAAATATTTGCCGGGACAGCTCAGGTAATGCAGGTCCTTATTGTTCTCGTATGTATTTAGCATGTTGCATTTTCATTTTGCAACTTGCTGCACTCACACACCGTGGATAGCATTTTGCCTCCTCAAGAAAGGTGAACCGGGGAGCTCTGTCTAAAGTCCATGTCTTTCATGGCGGCTCTCAGGTGTTCTCACACCTGTATGTTGGCCTTTGGAGCTCCTGGTTCGTGGTTAGTGGTCTCAGAGCCCGGTGTCCGCCTGTAGCGCCGCACACCGATTTTCAGTGGATCCAGGCTATCATGGATTGGGGTCTGACTTCTGCTTGGACGGTGAATTCTGGAGATTGCTGCTAAATTGGTAACAGCCTGCACTCTCCGAGTTTGTTAGGGTGAAGAAATCAACAGTGTGTCCGGTGGACAGTGGGTAGGGCGTGCGGGGGGACAGCATTTTAAGTACAGTTGACCCGTGAACAACATGCGTGTGAACTGCGCGGTCCACTTACACGCAGATTCTTTTCAGTAAAAGTCGCACCAAGTGCACCTGCCTCCGCTTCCGCCTCCCCCACCTCCCCACCTCTGCACCCCTGAGACAGCAAGACCCTCCTCTTCCTCAGCCCGTTCAACGTGAAGATGACAAGGATGAAGACCTTTATGATGATCCACTTCCATTTAATGATGAGTAAGTAAATATATGTCCTCTCCCTTATGATTTTCTTAATAATATTTTCTTTTCTCTGGCTTACTTTATTGTAAGAATATCGCACGTGACACATATAACATAAAAATACGTGCTAATCAACTGTTTATGTTACGGTACTTCCAGTCAACAGGTTAAGTAGTTAAGTTTTGGGGGAGTCAAAAGTTATATGCAGATTTTTGACCGTGCAGAGGGTCGGTGCCCCTAACCCTTGAGTTGTTCAAGGGTCAACTGTGCTGCCCAGGATGACCTGCTGCGCAGGCAGCCAGCAGCGGGAAGGCGTGTTGCTGAATCAGTTTTGGTACAGTACACAGGCGACGGAATGCATCGAGCAGCCTGTATCTCAAGGGTTTTAGCCAGAAAAGTCCCCAGAGGTAGTTTTTTTTGCGGACCTTCCCGGGTGTCTCACTAAGCTCCCAGCTTTAACCACCCTGCACATTCAGAGCGTGAGGCTGCCCCGCCGTGTAAGGACAGTTCTTTCTGCTTCTTTCTCCTTCCTCTCTCGGCTTCCGCCTGGTATGGTTGGAGGCAGAGACCCAACAGTTGGAGAGGAAGAGAACAGAACAGAGTCACTGTGACACGCCTGCACTCCCTTCTGCCAGGGCGAGCCACTAGCAACTGCGACCTCTGCCCAGAGGGAAGGGTCAGGAGTCCTAGCTTTAACATAAAGACGGATGCGATGACTAATATTCTGGACTTGATGGTTTTAATTTCTCATCTGAGACCGTATTTTGTGACTTGAGAGAGACAACAGGTTTGTCTTTTACCCAGGAGTAAGTGGAAGAGTCATGCATCCTGTCCAAGTTTCCAACCAGGGGCAGGAAGATGAGCTGGGCTGAATACTTTTAAGAGTGACCACAGGAAACAAAAGTCTGAGTTCTAAGCCACAAACTGTGCTCGTTCCATGGACCAACTACACCTCCAAGGGAGGGTATTTAAGCGTCACAGAATTGGTTCCTGGGCATTTCTTTTATCAATGATACGCGTGAGTGTTTATCTTATACTCATTTCGATACCTGATGTGCATCATATTGGCGCCCACTTAACACAGAGACCGTGTGTCCCATTTAACCCGGTTCAGTGCAATCACTGTTTACTGTGCATAAGTCAGAGTCTAGAAAGGAAAGGAATAGTGACCAGAAACCCAAACGTGCCTCCCATGAAGACTTCCTTGACCTCCTTCTTACCTTCACCAAAAGGTCCTTGGCCTCCTTCTCCAGCCAGCGTGGGTAGAAGGGATTGTCCATGCGGATGGAGTGGAAGAGCTCTTCCTCGTCCTGCCCGTGGAAGGGC